AAATGGATTCACTCCACTGAATAGCTGACAGATACCAACAAGATAAAAAAACTCCAAAGATTCTTACTTTGTGAAGGTAACAAGAATGGAAAGTGCTTGAAAGGTGACCTATCTGTGCACATATTTGCAATTCTCTCCAAGATAAGGAGTTTCATCTTGGCATTGTTTATAATATTCAGCCACACCTCAGAATCAAAATTGTAAATGAAGACAATAGAGAGAAGAAGTCAAAACTATTATTTACCATTTTAAGCTTTTAATTTTCTCTTCTATTTCTATTAATTAAAATTGCTAACATTAATTACCAAAGAATTAGTGTTCTTTTATCAACACTAAAATATATGACAAGAAAATTCATATTTTTCAAAAGAGAACGATCCAACGTAACAAATACAAACTAAATCTCAGGAAGTCTCAAAAAACTAAATATTCAAGCAAAGAAAATGTAATAACTTCATGTCACTTCCCAGGCATGTCATCATTAAGTGATGTGTTCTGAATTTAAATTCATTCTTAAAAATTAATAATAACTGTGTTATTGAAATTTAAAAATCAAGAAAAATATTCTATTGTGTAAAGATTTTAATTTAAAAATCAAGGAAAACATTCTATTGTGTAAAGATTTTAATTTAAATTACTTTTTTATACGAAACTAAAAAAAAAAAAAAAAGACTGTGTGGTTAATAATATCAGAAAACAGATCTGGCTGCAGAGCAAAAATGTGAAACAGTGTTACATCCTGGCCCTGGTAAAGGTGTTTATTGATAGTTTTTTCTTTATTGTTAAACCAATTACAGTTCATAGGCTACATTTAGACACTATTGTATCAACCTCAGTTAAACGCTTGGACAAATGCCATGCTACTTTGAGAGCTGTTGCTCTATCAATTTTAAAAAAAAGCCCCTTTCATTCCCTTTTTATTAGTATTGAGTTATGACTGACATTCACAAAAATTTCCCCCAAAGATCCTTAATTAAAAAAATCAAACCACTAAAAGAACTTATTAATGTTTAATGAATTAATGTGTTTACTGCACAGCAACATAGAAATAAATTACTTGAAAGAAATGTGGCTCATCTGTGTGTTACTATCAGGTGAGTTAGCAGTATTTTGTAAAATCTATGACCCTTTAAAAGAACATTTAAGAAAATTTTGTAAAAATGCAAACTATCCCGGTAGCTAACAATTTGCCAGCTGCTTGCAGTTTATTTTGATTCCTTTAGAAAAAAGAGTAGCTGATTGAAATCATCCAGCCTGTCAGATGGTACATTGTCATATCCTTAATTTATGGATCTCACATGCACATAGATTCTATGTGTAGAAAAAATTCTGAGTACAAAATTAATAAACCAATTTTATTAAAGAAAATCCACAGCTTCCTAGACAGATAAACTACTTATCTTGATATAGCACAATAATCTTTTTCCTTCAATTTCAGATATTCATGAAAGGTGACAGAAACTGTGAGGATTAACTCTAAAATAAAAATATTGATTCTGGAATGGCCAATATCAAAAATCGTTCCTAGGAACAAATGTACTTCAGATATGCCATACCTTAGGCTATCTCCTCTCCCATCACAGCTGTCAACAAGTTCAGCATTAGGCTACCCTGGCTAGTCCAGGCTAAAATCTAAAAAGCGTGGGAGCTGCCTCGCCGCACGTTGTTATATGGAACATCATAAAGCAACCTTTTGTGAGTATAATTTCAAGTAACTCAAGAAATATGCTTGAAAGAATATATGAAGATATTATCTAATTCTTCCATCAATAGTGATGAGGTTCCTACATGGTTTAGTTCAGCTGGTTTTGGGACACTTTGTAGCTGCTCTGGGAGAAAAAGGTGTACCTGACCTACGGGACAGCGGTCTTATCTTCCAACATGAGCTACTCCAACTGAGGCACACGCTTCCCATGATATAAAGCCTCTCTACAGGCACGGATTTGATTTGTATTAGTAACAACACTTCCTTCTACACTTTGAGTTTCACAATGTGTTCTCATCCCATTTTTGGTCATTTGCACTGGAGCTCAGCTATACATTGGATATCTGCTAGCAGCATGATGCTGAACCTGCTATATTTCTTTGTCTTGGAAAGCAAGACTTCCTTATTGCACACAAAAATAAATATATTTAATACTTATTGATGCAACTGATGCTCAGATTTAGATGTTCTTTATGATCATTTGAATGATGGTTGATGCTGTATGGAATTGCTATAGGTACAAGGGCTGCATGACGCTCATTAACGCTTATCATTCTTTTTCAGCCCACTAAAGAATCAGATGCTTTATTTTTTTTGTGTATAGAACTGTTTATTTTGCTTATAATCTTTTATACATTTTATTTTCTCAGTTCAAACTGTATACAATGAAAGAAGAAATAATGGTTTTTTCCACCTCTTTAGTTTTGGAAACTAGAACTGTTTAGCACCAAAACTAAATGTTCCAAATTAAGAACTGGGTCCTTATCCCACACACTCACATTAAACAGCACTTCATTCCTAAGGAGCCATTGATTTTATTTAGATTATTCTGCAGGATGCAGATCTGGATGCTGCTGGAACGTTAAGTGCCTGTTTAAAGTCTGTCCTACACAGAGGAGCATGCAAATTGATTCAGACTCAACAAACAGAAGAGATACTGTTCTGAACTAGAAACATAGCCTTTCGTTCCATACCAGTGCAGAAGTGATACAACAAAACCTTATAATCAAATTACTTAAAGATGATTTTTTTAAACAGATTAAAAATTACTTTTATAATAGCTACTTGTCTTTAAAATTTAACAATATTACTGTTCCTCAGTTACAAATTTTATATTTATGCTTAAAGAGTTTATTCTCTGAGGTATTCAATGTCAGTTATTAATGAAAACCCTTGCTTTGTAGAATTCAGGTAAAAGAAAGATAAATGCAGTCAGTTATCTAGAATGACAGAAAGAAAAAAACAAAATCAACCAAATAAGTAAAGCATAAGAAAAACAAACAAACAAACAAACAAATTAAACCTAATAAATCAGGAATAAAACTAAGGGAAAACAGAAAAAAGAAAAAGAAAAAAAAAAAGGAAGCCAGTGGGATTTATGTTATTACAGTATACAATCAAGGCACATGATTCCAGATTATTCAAATTACCTGTGACAAAAGGACAGTTACCTCTCTGTGAAATGCCAATCATCCTTAGTTGGAATGAATTTATTGCTAACAAACCTAGTCTTAAACCCAAAGGAAATCATGGTAAAGTGTTCAAAAGTCACTCCTCTAACAATGACACTTCCAGGAAAAAGAAACTTTGCATCAACACAGTAATATCAATAAATTAGTGAGTTATGCATTGAATATGCAAATAACATGGGGATGTTTAACAGGGGAAGCAAATAATCCATTATTTTCTATAGAGCCTTTGCAAATCTAAGGAGAGGAAAACTGTAAGAGAAATCCTTGCTGTAAAAAGGGGAAAAAAATTAATATGCATTTCATGAAGACATTTAAATAACAAGTTCAGCAGGATATTACAGATATTGCAGCAGAATAATGAAAGTCATATTTCTGAGTGATAAAATCTTTTAATAAATAATGTCAGAATAGTGTTGGTGGAATAATGGTGCCACAGTGTATGTTGCTAATTGAACAACTACAGCTTGAGCTTTAATTCATAACTTCTTTCTATCCTGACTGCTGGATGTCCTGTCTATTGAGGAACAGAGGAATCTGATTGGTAAAAGGAGCATCTATATTCCATATAAAGTATACAGACCTGTATTAGCAAACTGCATTTTTTCAGCACAAAACAGTCAGAATCTAAGGTCAGATTTGTCATGCAAATAAACCCAGACTCTGTGGAGACTGTAAGCAATGTGTTCCTCTTGTTTCAGAGAAAAGCTCTGAAGAATTCACCTTGAGATATTCATAATCATGAGAAGGATAATTTGATAGATTTTTTCATTAATCTTTCACACTCTTTGCACTGTTAACATTTTAGCAATTAATTTTTCATTTGTGCTTTGCATCTTTTTTATTGTACTTGTGTTTAGAGATGCAAGTATGTGGCAACAGCAGCAATTAAATAATAAAACACGTAAGAGCATTAACAAAACATTTTTATAAACAGATATCACACTACTATGCCTCACAAGATTTAACACAAAATTCTATGATTATCTAACTTTTCTCAAAGGGAAACCAGAAGGTTTATGATAGTTTCACATAAATCTTAAAAATATCTCTACAAAATATAATTACAGCATCTATAAAAATGTCTCTAGAAATGGATACTAAATGTTTTCTATTATTTTTGTACCTATCTCCTAATATTAAATAAAAACTTTGCATTACAATAGCTCTAAACACCACAATATTTTTCTATATAAAATTTTACAGATCTTCTAAATAATTGTCGTTTCTCATGCACAAAATTCAACATGATGCTTAAATAAGGAATCTGACACATCATGTAAAAGCAGTGACACACAAACCCCCATATCCCAGTGTTCCATCTCTGCTAACATGATATGCTGTTGAAGTTGGGGACCCTCACAGCACTGCTGAAGCCTAGTGCTGGGCTACCACAGGAAGGACCCCAAGCAGCAGAGGATAAATGGTAACTCCTCTACCAGCAAAGTCCTGCCATAAGTGTCTCATCAATTCCACAGACAACACTCAGACACTTACGTACGCTGAGGTATCTGCACGCCCTGCAAAAACCACTGTTCGTGTCATTCCTCCCACATTCAGTGGCTCCAATACCCAAGGGTGAGTGAAGAGAAACAGTACTGCAGTCATGCATAAAACTTATTATCTTATTGCTGCTTTTTAGATGAGTATTGCTAATATTTATTCACAAAAGAAACATTTAAATACACTTAGTGTTAACAGTATAAAATTAAATAGCAGTCCATGGGAGCAAATGCATACAGATGTGTGTATGCACCCCCCCACACATACACACAGCACTTTTTCTTTGTGAAAAACATCTTAAAGAAGAAATAAAAACTACTTACACCAGAATAGAAAGGCTCACCAGACACACAGATCACATCCTGCTCCTGGATCATCAAAATATCTTTGGCTAAGTGCAGTCGCACTTTGAAAGGCTCCTGATTACCATCCTGCAGCAAACAAACCCCTGTCTTTGTCTTTAAGGAGGGAATAAAGAAAAAAAAAAAATCAGTTAGCTCTTAGAATTGTTAGAAGTGGTGATTGAATAAGAATACTTGATAGCTAAGTACAGTCATCATAAACAAAACTATTTTCAATGATCACTGTGTTTAGACTACAAGAGAACAAATGTTACCCTAGTAAACAGTAAAGGCTGTTTTTGTAATAACAGATTTTGCAATAATAAGGTGCTGTTTCACCCATGATCATTTTGTGAAACTCTTTCCAAATTGCTTCAAATCAACTGTGCTCTTATGTTCTGTCTTTTCATTAAATTATGGCACCCCATATGACACAAAATAAAAGCTGATCCTCCACATACTACACCATTTTTGACACAGAAAAACACACAATGACATCTCCAAACTACCCAGATATGAGTACCAACAGCTGCATTAACCCAGCTGTGGGCTATTCATTCCTTGTCTGTGAATACAACATTTATTCAACTTTTTAATGTTCCTTTTCAAATGAGGATGCTGAGCTAAGAATAAGAGAAAATAAAAAAAAAATACTAAACTCCCTGTGGTAACTTAGTTCTTGCTCCATTTTTTGTATTTTACATTTATGGCTAAAGATCAGGAATTCTGTAGGATTCTTCAATATATAAAAATTATTTTTCAGTAATTAACAGTGCCTTTGCAGTAGTACCTACTTGTACTATCTTTTGGAACATTATACATAAGAGGGTGAGCACCGAAAAAGTTGGCACATCAAAGTACCATCATTATTTATTTTTCCTGAAGGTTATGTTGAAAATAGCACTCTTTGTAACACTTTGTCAATGGACAAAATTCCCACTGGTAGAGCATTTTTTTTGTATGAGAAATCTGATTACAAACAATCTGAAATTAATTAATCTGAATTAATTAATCTGAGCCTTACAAGTCGTTTACCAGCATAAGTATTTGCATAGATAGATAGAGATATATAGAGAAATAGAGATATAGATATATACACGTGTCTCAGAAGAAAATTCACATATAAAAAGTATTGAAAAGCTCTGACTCATCAGTGCCAATAATACAACTTTCACTGTCTTCAGAGAGGTCAGATTTCAATCCACCAACTGTAAAAAGTTGGCTTAAGAGGAGATAAAGAAAAGAAAAGTATTTCTCTGAACTTTAAGTGCCAAGGTTGACCTGGCTGAATCTGAGGGCTCTTTCTCAGGCAAGAGTTTAAAAGAGGATTTGGAAGATCTCCCCATAATGTGGTCTTACATCCCTAGCATGGAGAGAACAAACACAAATATGGAACTGACAGTAGGCCACCAGCAAAAGAGAAGTTTAAATCTCTCTCACAAGGCTTTAAAAGAGGTGGAAAGGTCGAGGACAATCTTTAAATAGCTTTATACAATGTTCTCCACTGACAAACTGTTCTGTCACTTCTGCTCCATACTCAACACTCAAACTTTGGAAATTGTTTTTTCTTGGATGCCAGGAGCAAATGTGTATAACTCAGCCAGGAATTTGAAAGTGGCGCTGACATTGCTTGTATTCTTTTTGATCTATGTAAGAAGAAGGAAAAAATGAAGAGCTCCATGCATTGAACTCACTGAGGTCAGTTGAATCTCTGGTCAACAGTCATCCTACACCATTTTTCTAAAATTAAGGTGGTTTTTTTGTTGTTTTGTTTTGTTTTTATTTTTTTTGTGAACAAGGTAAGAGAGAAACATGCACAGATAAAATAAAAGGATCACAGAAGGAGTTAGGTTTTCAGTAACACTGAAAAATTCTCCCATATCATACATAAAATGCTACAATATCAAAATGAAGAGTGGTTATGTCCTTTGAACTTCTTTACACACTAAGATGCCTCCTCTCTCCTTGGAGTGGTGAAGTGAAAGGGGAAGTTGAACAATGTGGATTGTAAATAATTATGGTCAAACAAAGGGGCTAACACTTAGAAAATGACTTTCTTCTGCAAAAAAGTTTGCAACATACCTTTCCTCCTTCCCTGGATAACTGGCAGTAGAATAAACTCTGCCTCTCATACACTGGGTATAGTAACTCTGCAATCTTACATGATTGCACATTTCTGATTTAGTCAGTAACCTTATAAAATCTCTGGAGTCTTTCTGCAAAAGCTGAGGGGCTACTTGTAGGAATTAGAGGCAACCACAGCAGGAACAATTAGACATTAGAATAAAATTAAAATTCAAGTCAGTTTCTAAATGCATATGAGCTGAGCTTATTCAGCCTGAACAAGGAAATCAAGCTTGGGTACAGCAAAATATTTTGGCCCTTGGAAAGATTGATCACACACACTCAGGGACCTTATTTACGTCAGACATTCTAAAATGTAATGAACCACTTTACTGTTGTTGGGTTTTATGAAAGCTAGTTTACAATACTGTTCAAAATTAAATCTTCAATTATACTACCTCCTTCTCTCTCCTACCTGACAGCTGCATTAACAACCATGTGAAGTAGAAGAATGTAGTTGAGTTTCATTAGGTAATTTCAAAAGAAGACCTTGAGAACAAAGACTGGAATCTAATTGTTTCATTTTTGTCTGTTGAAACCACTTTCTTGCTCCTCTCATCCACCTCCTTCAAAGTATTTCACAAACTGAGTAAAATAAAGATAAGAGCTCCTGTTCCAGAGCTGGAAATTAGGAAAGACAACCTGTATATATACTTTCATGTAAACTGCTGTTTTATTCATGTGGCCCAGATGAAATTTTTCTGATCAGCTGTATAACCTACAGCCCTGCCCTCTCTCATATCTGAAGAGCTTAGATGGTGTGCATGTGTGTGTGCATGTGCGTGAGAGGTGTGGGAGTGCAGAGCTATGGCTGATACATGCTTTTGTTCCTGATACCAATTTCTAAGACATTCCATGTGAGGCTGTGTTAAAACTTTTCCCTTTAAGCCTTCCCCATGTCACTGGCAGAGGGGTGAGCCCTGCTCCTGTCTTACAGCAATAAGACACAAACAGCACATTGGCTGAGCTGCTGGGCCATGCAAAGCATCCTCTTGTGCTCAAATGTGTGATACCCTGCATCACCTCACAGCAAACATGCAGAGAGAAGCAAAGCTCAGCTGATAACAGTTTGTTAAGGCAATAAACCTTGACTGAGCCCAAATCACCAAGAACATCATCATATTTATGGAGCTGGGCTCCTGTGCTGCAAAGATGGGAAGAAAACAGTGTTTCAAGTTGCACATTTTTATGAAGCAGAGAAGGTGTGTTAAGGAATGCATATAGAAGCATTGTAAAGAGGTGAAAAAGAAAGTTTCCATATGAGAGAGGAGCCTGTGGCTTCAAGCAAAAGCACTGATGGAGGAAGGTAGTGGTACCTAAGTAACAGGTGCAGTGAATGCTGCACCCACACAAGGCTGCCTCTGTCACCTCATTCAATACGGTTTTAAGCTGACTTAGATGAGAACAGTAATGTGGCAAGAGCTGATGTCCTGGAAACTGCTTACAGTTCCTGAACTAATATAATTACAAGAGGGGCTGAAAACTGATCTCTCTTTGCTTTGACACACCAGTCTGTGGTGAACTTTCTGCTTCAGGTCACTATCAGAGAACAGTGTAAGTGGGCAGAGCCCTTAAGGCAGACTTCTTTCCAGAGAATATGGTCAAACTCTGATCATTATTAGCAACAAGGCAGTCAAAAAAGACAGGCTTACTTAAAAATTATACCCTGACTTACAGAACAATGTCCATAGGGACTGTGTAAAAGACCTGGCCTAAAGATTCCTTTCCTAAAAGGAATTTAGAAGTTCTTACGTACCAAAACACACATTCCACATTTGTTAAATGGCCTTCACAAATATTTAAGGATTCATTTCAGAGGAAATACACATGAAAGCTATGGTTTCTACATTTATACTAGAAGCAGAGTACCTACAAAACACATATCAAAATAAATACTGCAGGAGAAACATCATTAAAGTTACCTGTTGATTTAGAAGGCAATTTCCTGCAGAATTTCCAAAATAAATATTTTTATAAATTTATCTGGCCTATAAAAGTCTACTAACAGATTTTCTGGGTGGTTTTTTTTGTTGAGTTTTTTTTTTCCATGTCTTTTTTTTTTTTTTTACTTGTCATTTATGATAAGGAAAAATAATTCTAAAACATTTCCTTTGTTTTTTTCTCAAAGACAGTTTCTCAATCTTTCAGGCAATTTAAAACACTCATAATTAGTTTTCAAGACATGTCTATATCTTCTCCTTCATCTATGTCTTTGGCCCTACAGTAATAAAACAATTTATTTAGCTTTGATTATCATAGTTTTATGTCAGTAGGAAGACTTCAACAAATATCCCAGAATAGTTTAGTCCACAAACAAGTTGAAGAAAGAAAGAGGAAAAAACATAAAATCTTGGCACATTTTCTATACAAGGTGACCTGGATTTTTAGTTTTTACTTTGACTATTATGTCCTAAAATAAAGTAAGCCTCTGCAATTTGGTTTTAAGCCCTGAAATTTATTTCTGCTATCAAGAACATGATAGCAGTAAGGAGAATGGCTTACAAAACTGCCTTAAATGTGTACCTAGCTCCTTCAGATTAATATCTACCCTTTTGGGTGCTTATTCGAACTGAGGCTGACCTCTGAATATTTGGAGATATGCCTGTCACTGCTTCATAATTGTAAGTATAATAATAAAAAAGGAAATTGAATCAGAGGTTTAAGGAGGTAATGGCATCGGATTTAAGGAGCTAATAGCAATGGATTCAAGAGGAAGGAATATGTGTCAGAACCATATATGGGATGTTTTTTAAACAGTCCAGTTACACATTCTGTGGAGGTATTGCTAGCTTAAGTGAAAAGCACTTATATTGTCAAAAATTGGAATGCAGCCCAGACACACAAGGATGTGTTCAGCTTGTCATTCAGAGCCTCTTCAATCAGATACCAACATTTTCCAATCCCAGGGACAGCAAGTCCATTCCTGCATATGAATTATACTCCAGTCTGAAAGTACTGCAGAAAAATTCTGAATTTGGACTTGAACTTATTTT